ACTTTGGGGAATGTTCATTGCAGCTTCAAGAGGAAATAACATAAATGGAATCTCTTATACCCCAAAATTCCTTACAAAATTGCTAGTTAGACCCTTTGGCCTTTTGTTTTGTTTTTTGCTAGTCAAGTGTGGTTTTGGGGGGGAGACAGTGTTAATCAACTTAATAATCCACAACTCTTGGACCAACTTCCCTTTGGCCTTTTGTGTATGTGGCAGTCTGAGTCTGCCTTCTCCAAAGAGGCAGTGCCCTTGGTTACCCTGCCCCTCTCCACCTGTTTGTGAGATTTCATACCATACCTTGTCGGCTCTAACTTTGAATCCTTAAGCATGGAAAATAATTCTAAATAAGAGACCTATTGCTACTCATTCTTGTGTGTAGAAATAGCATTCCAGTGGGCTGCTAATTTGAACATCTATTGGATAGGAAAGTTTTTTCTTGAAGCAAATATTGCTGATGGCTCTGACTCTATTTTTGTTGTGGTGGCACGGGCAAATTCAGGTATTGTGGTAGTGGGAGTTGAGGATGGTGGCTTCCAAAAGTAGGCCAGATGCTGTGACCTACATAACCTGGTAGCACTGGAGTTGAGGGCTGTTGCTCTAGATTTTTAATTTACTTTACTCTTTAAAGGGAAGAAAATGATAAAATTGTACATTAGGGCCATAAACAACTCTTTGTAGTATCTTAAATTGGTTAAAAAAAAGAAAAAGCCACCTCAAATATTTAATGGACTAGAGTTTAAATAAATCAATAAATTCATGCATATCTACATTCAAAAAGTAAAAAATGAAGGCCGGGCGCGGTGGCTCACGCCTGTAATCCTAGCACTTTGGGAGGCCGAGGCGGGTGGATTGCTCGAGGTCAGGAGTTCGAAACCAGCCTGAGCAAGAGCGAGACCCCATCTCTACTATAAATAGAAAGAAATTAATTGGCCAACTAATATATATAGAAAAAATTAGCCAGGCATGGTGGCATATGCCTGTAGTCCCAGCTACTTGGGAGGCTAAGGCAGTAGGATTGCTTGAGCCCAGGAAGTTTGACGCCACGGCACTCACTCTAGCTTGGGCAACAAAGGGAGACTCTGTCTCAAAAAAAAAAAAAAGTAAAAAATGAAATTGCAAGCATTAGTACTTTTTTTAAAGAAATAACTTGAGTATTGTGTTTATCAAGTTTGCTGTTGATTTTATGTTTACATTACATCGTAGATTTGTTTACCAGTAATAATTTTGACTTGCTTCAGTTGACACCTACGTTTGGGCCAGTGTCAGCAGAAACATCTGTCAGGAACCTAGAGGTAGGAGCTGGAACCCAGAGCCTTCAACCTGGGGGAACTGTGAGGGGAGCAAAGAAAGCAGAGGACTTGCATTAATTAACACTGGGCTCAAGTTTTTGTGAAAGGGCTTTGTTGCAGTTCTGACTTGCTCACCTGTAGTGATTACTTGAGCATGATTTTTGTTGTCATTGTTCTAAGTCCCCAAATTGTATTAGAGATTCAATTGCCAAGTAATTTTATTTAGTACTCAATATGTACAAGCACTGAAGATTCAGTGGAGAACAAAACAGACAAGTTCAAGGTCAGGAGTTCAGTTATTAGAACTTAAATCTACTGACTGTTGGTAAATTACAAGTAAGTGAATCCTGTAGTTTAATGTATATTTGAGTGTATTCAGCTAGGAACCTTCCAGGTTGCTTTGGCTAAGTGAGATTAGGCATACCACGTGAAAAGAACAGCAGAGCTTTGATGTGGGAGGAGCAGGAATAACACAACATTATCCAGCTTTTGTTATAAAGAGTACCACCTGCCTGCTTCAGAAAATGATATTTTCATCCTTATATAAGTACTTGGTAAGTGGATGGATAGTGCTGGATAATGGACCCTTATCCTCAGGAAAATCTAAGTGTTGACTCCTTATAAAGACACAAAAAAACAACATATCATGGGTTTTGATGATAAAGCACCATTTTTAATCAGCTTAAAGTTTTAAAACTTGAACAATGAAGTAAAAATTGAAAAAGGTATGTTTCATAGCATCCCAAAACATCTCTGATGATTCCACCTGTGGAAGGGATAAGTGATAGGAAAAGATGACTTGAAGCCGGGCGCAGTGGCTCATGCCTGTAATCCTAGCTCTCTGGGAGGCTGAGGCGGGCGGATCATTTGAGCTCAGGAGTTCGAAACTAACCTGAGCAAGAGCGAGGCCCCGTCTCTACTATAAATAGAAAGAAAAAAAATATTTGCTTTCCCAGGTCTGTCCTCCTTGTCTGAGCACAATGCAATCCCCAATTTAAAAAAATGAAAACTCATTATTTTCAGCCTCTGCTTTTCAATGGAACTAACTCCTTCAGTACAAAACTTCTCCCATGCTTCCAGGTCTCTAGTGAGAATGTGAATATGTGTAAATCTCTTCTTACTCTGACCCTTCACTACAGCCTCTTGCCTACTGATTTTTCCATTTGGGTATTGTACTTTCTAATTCCAATTCCAGACCTAGCCTACCACCTTCCTTCTCTAAACTTCTCAGTTTATTTCCAACAGTGACAGCACCATTCTTTTTTATTTATTTATTTTTTTTGAGACAGAGTCTTGCTTTGTTGCTCAGGCTAGAGTGAGTGCTGTGGCATCAGCCTAGCTAACAGCAACCTCAAACTCCTGGGCTCAAGCAATCCTCCTGCCTCAGCCTCCCGAGTAGCTGGGACTACAGGCATGTGCCACCATGCCTGGCTAATTTTTTCTATATATATTAGTCGGCCAATTAATTTCTTTTTATTTATGGTAGAGACGGGGTTTCACTCTTGCTCAGGCTGGTTTCAAACTCCTGATCTCAAGCAATCTGCCCATCTCGGCCTCCCAGAGTGCTAGGATTACAGGCATGAGCCACCGCACCCAGCCAGCACCATTCTTTTTCTCTCTGCTCCTCTTCACCATCACCATACTTGCTCCTCTTACCCTAGGATCACCACATTTTGCCCAGGTACTTTGCATTTTCCTTGTCTAAATTATTTCTCTCCCTCTCTATGAATATGATAGGTATTTTGAGGCCTAGTCTACTATTTATTACTAAACATGTGACCTGAAGGCAAATTCTGTGACCTGTCAAAGCTTCAATTAACTCATCTGTAAAGTAGGATAATAGTTATATTAAAGTGTTTTGGACTGGGCTTGGTGGCTCACCCCTGGAATCCTAGCACCCTGGGAGGCTGAGATGGGAGGATCACTTAAGGGCAGGAGTTCCAGATCAGCCTGAGCAAGAGTGAGACGCCATCTATACTAAAAATAGAAAAAATGAGCTGGCCAACTAAAAATAGAAACAAAAAACTAAACCAGTGTGGTGGTGGATCCCTATAGTCCCAGCTAGCTACTTGGGAGGCTGAGGCAGGACGATCACTTGCACCCAGGAGTTTGAGGTTGCCGTGAGCTAGGCTGACACCATGGCACTCTAGCCTAGGCAACAGAGTGAGACTCTGTCTCTCAAAACAAAACATAAAAAGTGTTGATTGAAATAAGATTTTAATTTCAGTTGTAAAGTCTAATCTATAGATACTCAGCAAATATTTGTGGGATGAATAAATGTTAATTCCCTTCTCTTTATAACCATATGAGTACATGAGTTTGAAGAATTTCTTTTCTTATCTATGTAAACTATAAAAAGATTAGATGTTAATACTTGAAAATTTTTTAAATGATTGCTAATGTCTTTTTGCTCTATGATCACATCACATTCTAAGTATAGAATTTTTTTGTCTTTGTCTATTTTTGTTTGACAGCTGTATTGAGATATAACTCACATACCCTAAAATTCACCCTTGAAAGTATATAATTCAGTGGGTTTAGTATAGTCAGAGTTGTGTAACTACTACCACTGTCTAATATTAGAACTCCATTTTGATTACTCTAGAAAGAAACTCCATACCTACTAGTAATCACTCCCTCTTTCTCCCCCCCTACAACTAGTAATCTATTTTCTCTATGGATTGGCCTGTTCTGGACATTTCATACAAGTGAAATCGTACAATATATGACCTTTTGTGTCTGGCTTCTTTGACTTAGCATATTGTTTTCAAGGCTCATCCATGTGGTAGCTTGTATTAGAACTTCACTGCATTTCAAGACTGAATATTCCATTGTATGGATAGAGACCACATTTTGTTTATCCATTCATCACTTGGTAGACATTTGGGTTATTTCCACTTCAGCTGTTATGAATAATGCTGCTGTGAACATTTGAGTCCAAGTTTTCATGTGGATATATGTTTTCACTTCTCTTGTATATATGTGTAGGAGTGGAATTACTAGGGAATCTTTGTAGTGGAATTAGTAGGGAATGAAATGTTGGGAAAACTAAAAGTTCTTATCTGGGGGATTTGGGATGTTCCCTTCTTAGTTCCGTAAGGTGGAAATTCTTTGAAATGGACCTCACAGAGCACTGTGCTCCCTGAGGTACTTGGCCTATCACAGAAACTAACAAAAAAGCAAGAGCCTGCAGTCAAACAGGATCACAAGCAACAGAAATGCCCCTACATCATAAAGGATGTTTTTATTAGGATAGAATAACAACATTAGCCAAATTTCAGTGGTTTACTCTGACCAAAGCATTTATTTTCATTCACTTTACATGAGGGGTGGCACTGCAGGAATCAGAAAATTTTCCCAAAAGGGATGCAAACTAAAGAAAAGTTAGATTAAGATGGACCCTTCTTTGAAAGTACTCTGTTCTAGAGCATGGGCCTTTAGATCAAGAGCACGAATGTTTCCTATTCTCTCAGCCACCCTCCTTCGCAACCCAGATTGAACTGAAAGGGAGAGAAAGAAGGATCTGGAGCAGCTTGTGGAATGATGTTTCCATCTCTCATGCTACTCAGTTGGGGAGCAGGCTTCAGGAGCTGCCTTTACCTTTATAGAAAGTCATGAGAAGGGAAATGGCTGAGGTAGAGCTCAGTGTTGAGCATTGTATGGTTAGTCACTCAGAGGTCACTAATCACTCTCCCATTTCTTGTTTTTCAGTGAATGAGATAATTGGGAGAGATATGTCCCAGATTTCTGTTTCCCAAGGAACAGGGGTGAGCAGACAGGCTCCCCTCCCGGATCCCGAATCCCTGGATTTAGGAAGATCCGTCGGGCTCTAACAGTGCTCACTACAACCTTGTTTCTACCACCAACTTCTCAGTGTGTTTCTCTCCCTGGACCTTGAGTTTCCAGCTCTGCAGCCTTCAGGACTGGCATCAGAAGTTGGACTTGCCATTGTGGGGAAAGGAGCATTCCTCCACCTCAGGCCTTGGGTAGATTTTGTAAAAGAACAGGAACAGCATAGGCTGTTTGAGCTTGGGAAAATGAGCTTTGCTTTTTATATTTAAATAGGATACTTTTATATGATGGGTGCTTTGAGAGTGAATGCAGCAGGCTGTCCATTTCAGAGGTGCTGCTTTTGCAGGTGACCTGGTTACTTAGCTAGGATTGGTGATTTATACTGCTTTGTGGTCATTTGAAGGGCCCTTTAGTTTTGATGATATTTTAAAAATAGGAACTTTTGATAAAACCTTCCAGAGGCAAACAAAAACAAAAAAAAAGAGAAAAAAATTACCCCAAGCCCACACCTATGCCTCAGAAACTCAGCATGTGTCCTGAAGACTTTCATAGATTCATAGGAAATAAAGCCAAATGTAGCCCATACCTCTTTATAAAAGCAAACTATTGTTAGATAAAATGAGAAGAGACCATTCCATCGTTGAAGTGTTGGAATATAAAAAGACATTCCAGAGCATAGCCTTTTGTAACTTTCTAGGTAATCTTCCTGCAATCTCTCCATACTAGCTCCATGTTGAAACTGCTTTTTTCCCTCAGGACCTTGAGTAAGATGATACATGTAAGGTGACATTAAAAGGTGGGGTTTTAGCTTGGTCACTTTCATTTCCTGCCATCCTAAAAATTAGTAGCCTGTGGTGTGCTCTTCCTTTTTTGCATCCTCTGGTCCCAGAACCATTTCCAAACAGGAGCATCTGTCTTTGGGTATTCTGTAACCTTTGAAGCCACAGTCTCCTGTTGGTTTAGACAGCTTTGCAGTTCTAACTCTTCTCTACATACAGGCCAGGCTATGTCAGGAGCTAAACACAGTTGAGCATCAGGACAGGCAGAGAAAATGCAGGACTCCAGATGGGAAGGTTTTAAGATTCACACTGGTGACTGGGCATGGTGGCTCACGCCTATAATCTTAGCACTCTGGGAGGCCGAGGTGGGTGGATCACTCAAAGTCAGGAGTTCGAAACCAGCCTGAGCAAAAGCGAGACCCTGTCTCTACTAAAAATAGAAAGAAATTAATTGGCCAACTAAAAATACATAGAAAAAAAATTAGCTGGGCATGGTAGTGCATGTCTGTAGTCCCAGCTACTCAGGAGGCTGAGGCAGGAGGATCACTTGAGCCCAGGAGTTTGAGGTTGCTGTGAGCTAGGCTGATGCCACAGCACTCTAGCCCGGACAGAGTGAGACTGTCTCAAAAAAAAAAAAAAAATTCAGGCCGGGCACCGGTGGCTCAGGCCTGTAATCCTAGCTCTTTGGGAGGCCAAGGTGGGCGGATTGCTCAAGGTCAGGAGTTCGAAACCAGCCTGAGCAAGAGCGAGAGACCCAGTCTATACTATAAATAGAAAGAAATTAATTGGCCAGCTAACATATATAGAAAAAAAATTAGCCGGGCATGGTGGTGCATGCCTGTAGTCCCAGCTACTTGGGAGGCTGAAGGCAGTAGGATCACTTGAGCCCAGGAGTTTGAGGTTGCTGTGAGCTAGGCTGACACCATGGCACTCACTCTAGCCTGGGCAACAAAGCAAGACTCTGTCTCAAAAAAAAAAAAAAAATTCACACGGGAGGTGTATCCCCAACTCTGTTTACAGCCTGAACTGATTCTGGCCTACGTTTTCCTATCTGTATGACCTAAAAACCAGCCTTTTCTCCAAAAGGCTTCGAGCACATCCAAAAACGATGACCTGACCCTCCACACCAAAGACACCTTGGTGCTGCTACTGGTGAGACTGGCATCCAAGGCATGGGCCAGCAGAAGCTCCAGCCTGCTGTGTACCAAAGGAGATGCCCAAGTTGGGTGCTTTTTAAAAAGCCTGTCCATACTCCTCCCTCAATGAGACTTGTTACTTCCTGGGCCTATCTCAAAGCCCCTGAAGTTTGTATTATGTTTTCAAATGAAATAATGTACTCTCATTTATTCAGGAAGCAGATTTTTTGAGTGCCTATTTGTGAGACAGTACACTAGGCTGATTGAAGGCTTGATGCTGTTATTCCATTACGGGCCCTAGATACCAAGACTAACTCTACTGAGGCCAGTTGAGACCTGGGCAAGGGGAGTAGCCCATTGCCCACCACTTGTTGTCAGTGGGGTAGGAGCTGTTGACCCATGATGACAAGTATGGTCTTTAAGAAAAAAACCAACCATGTTTTGGATTTCTTCCCTAAAAACATCTGTCCTTCAGCAAATCACTCTGATCCCTCTTGGAGATGGGTGTTTTCAAATTTAGTTTGAAAGTGTGTTTTGTGTCACAGAATGTAGGTAATAAGATTTGTTTCAGGGCCTGTGGTTGGAAGTTCATAGCTTCCTTTGGAGGGACAGTAAGTTGGCCTCTCAGGTGAAGTTCCAGAGACATGGCCAGACTTGCCTCTACCCTTTTGCCCCTGGTGTAGCTGCCTCACATGGGGTTCTGCAAGAGCTCCCCTTTGCAAGACCCTTTGGGGGTGGTTTTGCTGCCCTCCAGAATAAAAGCCTCGATGATCCAGAGTTGCTATGCACCAAATTTTGATGCCTTTTAAATACCTTGATGCCTGTAGCACTAGAAATGCTTTCCTATTTAAAATAAAAGTTAAATTTTAAAATAGAGCTTTGTATACTATGTAAGCAGTTTTATATCAGCTTTGTAAAAGCTTTGGTGTAAGAGTCAATATTTTTTGGCTTTGTAGATAAAGACTTACTTTTTTGTGCAACAAGTGGTATTAAAGCACACATCCATTGTACTATGCAAATGATTTCTAGTAGCAACATGCACCCCTTCCTTTTGCAACCCGTGCTAGATCTTGGGTTGAGGAATAGAATGAGCAGCCTTCTGCTTACTGGAGATGCACAGAGAAACATGGCTGAAAACAGCTTTAAAAGGAACAGATGTCTTCGGGTTCATGCGTGGTGCTGCTGCCTGGGTTGCAAACCACCGTACCCTGGGCCAGCCACTATCACCAGACCTCTGCTGGGCCTGGCTGTGAAGCCCTATTTTTGATCAGAACAGATCTTTAAGGCTCACATGGGCTCAATTGAAACCCTGTATTTTATAAAATGGATGTTTAGTAAAGGAACTGGTTCTCAGTTATGTTTACAGCATTTGGGATTGTGTTTTCTTGTACATTTTGTATTTCAAAACCTTTTATAGGAGTGCAGTGCTCCTTACACAAATATTAATACAAAGGGAAGAAGAGCCAGCAGTTTAGGCTCCACAGTTAATAGTGCTGAAATAATAAATGGTGACAGATCAACAGTCTCCTTAATCTGTCTGAGTTTTCCTCCACACCTGGGGTTGGTGTAGATCCCCCTCACTCTGGGGGCAAAGCTAAGGATACTGCAGTTTTTAAAAAGTCCATTTGGTCAGGAACTTTTACGGAGAGGATAGAATTCCAGATTCCTCTCGAGGCTTCAGTTCTTCACCCTTTAATGGGTGCAAAGGACATTCCACAGTGTCTTCTGGGTTCAGAACAACTGGCCCGCCCAAGGTGTGCATGAAAAGTTGGTAGAAAGTCCCCTTTAAAATTCAAGCCTGAGTTTTTGTGTGGGGTCCTCCTGCCCCCTAGTGTCCTCTGAGGATACTGCAGCATAGTCCATCAAAATCGCTTGCCAGTTTTGCCATCTAATATTCCTTGTGCTAGAGGAGGTCTAGCATCCTTTGGTGGGACCACCTGGCACAACATGGTCTCTGAGGTCCAGGTATCCTGAGAGTGGAGGCTGGCCTGCCTCCCTACCCTACCCAGAGTTACAGGGGGAGGTAGAACATTAGGACCTTTACTCAGAGGCTCAGATGGACCCTTGATTCTCCCAGGAGTCATACATTGAAGGTACCAGAGCTTACATTTAAAAAAAAAAAAAAAAAAAGCAAGCCTGCTGTGGACCTGGCAGCCCCACAATATCTGTGGGCTTGAGCCACAGCCAGGACAGACCAAAGGGCTCTCTAGGTGCCACTCAAGAGGCGCAGCTCAGGCCATCAGGAGCAGGTTAGCCCCATTCCACCCCTAGCCCTGCAGGCAGGGTCCAGCCATCATCTTTGGGGTAAACAGGCAGAGGAATAAGTAGAGGATGGAGCTGGGCCTTGGGCTCCTCTAGGTGCCTTCAGAGAACTTTGACAAGCTAGAAAGAAGCTACCAGGTCGAGGGCACTCATCCTCTGGACGTAGGAGAGGCATCTTGGCTGAGGACATCAGCTAGCTCTTACCTCCTGGCTTCTTCACTTACAAACACACCCACTCCTTGGGGGCTTGTAACACAGTGCGAGGAGGGTCACCAACAGGAATCAGACTGCTGTAGTCATCAGGGGCTAACTGCAGAAGGGACACAAATTTTAGGCAGAGAGCTCTAGGCTTAGCCAAGCCCTCAAGCCCTCTAGCCACATAATCTCACCTGGTAGGCCTGGAAAACGCTGAGCAGATCCTTCATACCAGCTGTGTATGGGACACCCTGCATGCGGACCAGGGCTCCTGGCTGGGATAACACTGAGGTGGGAGCAGAGGCCAGGGCAGCAGGGGGTGTAGTGAGGTAGCCCACAGTGGTAGGGGAGACGGGGGGGCTAGGGTGAGAGAAATGGGTTTAGTAGTGGATTTCACCTGTGGCCTAGACCAAGACCTGCCTCCCTCCTCCCTCGCCTTTGCCTTGTGCTTAGTTTAGTTCTTCCTCCTCCCTAAGACCCTGCCTCTACAGAGTCATCTCCAATCTGTTTCGTAGATGGCATTAACTACCTCACACCTGTAACTCTCATCTCAGGATAAAGCCCAATCTCCAATAGACCTTGGGTATCTGGCCCAGAATGGGGATTATGGCTCTCCCCAAAACTAGGACAGGGAGGACTATGGAGTTCTCTTAGTGGCAAGGTACCTTGGGTAGTAGGCTGTGTAGTTCATGTAGAGTTGAGTGGCTGGCCCTGGATAGTAGGCAACAGGGCTGGGGGCAGCAGGCACCCTTGCAGCTGAAAGCAGTGCTGAAGAGGGGTACAGAGCTGCTGTCTCAGTGGGAATGAGGGTTGGGGTGGCCTGGAAGGTGGCATAGGTGGGTGGCGAGAGGCCTAGAGACAGAAGTAGAAAGTGCATCTGCACAGAGCCCAGCAATGCCCTGGGTTGGGCAGCTAGAAAGGAGTCCCCTCTATAGAAAGTAGGGGCTTATAACAGCCTGACCCCCATAGGCCTCCTTCCCCAGTCCCTGGGGCACTCACAGGGCAGCTTGCAGGGCGGAGGGGACATGCCACTGCGGCCCAAGGTGCCCCCTATCAGCACACGGCTCATCTCCTCTGTGGAGCAGGGGACCACCTCGACGTAGCGTTCCTTCATCATCTTCTTATGGCAACGATGAGCAGCAGCTAGGGCGCGCTCTGCTGACGTCATCTGGATGAAGGCATCACCTGACGGCCGGCCCTGTGCACACATTTCTGAGCAGTTTTGTCGTTTGCAAGAGTACCTTACCCCTAACACACACTGCTTCCTAACTATGTGTGTCCCCCAATCAGAAGCAGCCTCACCTGCTGGTTGAGTACCATGTGCACACCGTGGGGCCGGATGTCTGCCGCTGCCTCCCCCAGAAAGCCCAAGATGTCTTCAATGGTGGCTGTGTAGGGCAGGCCTCGAAGGCGTACACAGTCCCTCCCGGTCCCTGCTGCCAGTGGGAAGGGGATGGGCAGCAGTGGGGCAGTCAGTGTGGGAAGAAGTGGACTGGATGCATAGCGGTTGAGGACCTAGTAAGGAAGGCAGCAACAGGCTGGTCATGCCAAGTGGAGCAGAGGTACAGAGGACCAAAGGGCCACCCTGGAGAATCAGTACATGCTGGGTGCGGAGCCCTGGGTGCTCACCTGCTGCACCTCGGCTGCAGTGCTCCGGAAGAGTTCAATGTATCGCTTACCCAGCATGCCCTTGTGCCTGCGTAGCGCAGCCTGTGCCAGCTCCTCACAGGCAAAGAGGGCAAAGGCATCACCAGTTGGCCGGCCATCAGGGTGGCGCACAAAGAGCAGCCCATCAGCACCTCCGGTCACCGGGCACTCTGGCCCCAGGAAGCCTAGCACGTCCGTTGGCCCAGCAGAGAAGGGCAGTCCCCGCAGCCGCAGGATCACTTGGTCTTCCCGTGACAGGAAACGAGCCACCTCCAGTGATGTACCTGGGTGGAGGGCATGGGAGTCACCTGCTGACTTCACCCCTGCTCTTCCGAACACCCACCCACACAGGGGAGCAGAGAGGCAAGGGCCAGTGGGGAAGTGGGAGATGGGTCAAGAACCCGGGGAGCCAGGCTCTGCTGGGGGCACACTCACCCCCTGCGATCTTTACAAACTCCTCCCCTGTGGCTTTATATACCTGTGGGTACAGAGGGAACAGCCCGTGGGTCTCAGGTCTGGCTTGGCTTTGCCCTGCTCCACTCCCAGCCCAAAGCCCCACCTCAATATAGCGGACGCCCATGTGGTGCTTGTGTCTCTGCAGCGCTAGGTCCCGCTGCTCGCTGTCCACAAAGCGGATGAGGGCCTCACCATTTCTGCGACCCTGGGCATTGAGGCAGAGCGCTACACCACCCCTGTGGAGCCAGTGCTGTTAGTGCCTCCTAGTTAGGCCCATCTTCTTGGACCCCCCCCCTTCCTGCCACACTCACCTGGCAATGTTGAGCCCTTTGAAGAAGCGAGCCACGTCCTGGTCTGATGACTGCCAGGGCAACCCACGGGCCCGTACCACAGTCTCACTGTCCACCACATCAGCCTTGCTGCTGTGGGGCCAGAGCACAGGGTCAGAGCTGTCCAGCTGTTTTCACCCCCGCCCTTGCTCCCACACTCACCAAGGACCCGTCTCGTATTTCTGCTTGATCACCTCGGGCTTCAAAAATAATGGACCTAGTGAGAGGAGACGGCATGGGCATCAGCAGGGTCTGATGGCGGGGGTTTCTCCCCACCAAGCTCTGCAAAAAGAGGACAGTTGAGGGAGAGGAGGAGGTGACAAAGGGGCTTCCATCTTGCAGTCTCTTAGAGAAGATCACAGTTGGAGAGGAGGACTTTGAGGAAGTAATTGCCAGACATTCACCCCATCCCAAGAACAGGTGACAGGCAGTAAGGGGAATCTTACTGCTAGGCTCTTTGAGCAGGTGGAGAATGACAGCTACCATTGTCTTCACTTCCCAGACCCCAAAGTCATCCTCTGTGGCATCTGTCTCCAGTCCCAAGTCTATATAGGCAGATAAGTGACAATGAAGAAATCCCAGCATGAGAGGCCCTGGGGTACCCAGCATGAGCGCTAATTTTGTTCACACCTGGGCTCAAGTCCCCCTCTGCAGACACATGCAGAAGCCCGCCATACATGTTTGTTTTGGCCTAGTTCATGTGTGTACTTACAGGTCCCCAGCCCAAACATATGTAGACATATGCCCACATTACAAACATAACCTAGTACAAAGACACGGGGGCTACACTCCAGGACTCAGCAGGTAATGCAAATTTGCATGTGTTGATATAACCCACCCACCAGCATGCACATACTCAGACACGCGTAGCCTGAAGCCACCCCTCCGCCCAATGCTGCTGGGTCACAGATACCCTGTGCCATGGTGGCCACAGTGAGGTCCTTGGCAGGGCTCATGCTTGGGTGCTGCATGTTGAACTCTCTGCGGAGGTCGTAGTAGGAGAAGAAGGCGTCAGGGAGCACTAGGTTCTGGGAGCACACACGAGTGAGAATCAATGGGGGAACTGAGGTGCCCTGCCCACCCCCATGACACCAGGGGTCCTGGAAGCCCTATCCCCTGTTGTGCCCTCAGTGGCATACCTTCCTAGAGGCCTCAGGGTGCAGAACCTGTCGCAACAGCTGCTGCCCATCAGTGCAGAGCACGTAGGGGCCCCCGCCCAGCAGAGCCACATCCCTGCTCACCAGCTGGGAGAACTGGGGATAGGAATGGGGAGAGACAGAAACAGACTCACAGCTGGGCAGGCAGGAAGGGGCGGGTAGGAGGAGGAAGGCAGCAGGCTGCAAAGCTGGTTCAGCCAGATGTTCAGCCCCACCTTACCTGGGGAGGAGGAGGCCACGCCCGCTGGGTCTGACCCTGTGTCCCATCCCCCCCAACCCCACCCCCATCGTCGCAGTCCACTGTCAACTCCTCCAGGCCAAATGAGGGCAGTCACACATAACCCAAGCCCCCATCACACACACTCCAGGAGCCTGGAGTGGGGCCAGAGCAAACACCTGGTCGAGTGGGACAAGCAGGTGGGAAGGGGCGGGGCAAAGCAGGTTAAACCTGTCCCTGACCAGGCACCACCCTCAGACAGGTGGGGGAGGCCCAGGCCTGCCTGAAGCCTGGAAGGCTCATGGTCAATGGCAGCCCCGCCTCTAGGTCCAACCAACCAACCGAGGGGCAGAGAAACTCCAAGGACAGAGCTCCACACTCGGACACCAGGGGCAGCATGAGCTTTGACCCACACTCTATCGACCGGCTGGCACCGAGCTGTTTGTTCATAGAGTGGGTGGCACTCCTGAGGCTGCCCAGCCCCTCCCCCAGCATCCATTCCCACTGAATAAGACGTATAAGCACTAATCACAGACACAGGAACCCCCTACTCCCACCCCTACCAATTCTGTGACACTTTCCAACCTCAGGCTGGCAGAGCAAGGGCAACTCAGCTCTTCAGCAAACTCCCCAAGGCGGGGCCGGGCTAGGAGCCCTTCTGAACAGGACTCAGATTCAGCATCTTTGTGTTTCCTGGAACATCAGGAACCACCAGAGTTGTTGGAAGATGAACGAATTTGTGCATGAAAAGGATTTGCACTCATTACACTGGAGAAGAGTCAGGCACAGGGTGAGCACGGTAGTGAAGATAAGAATAAGAAAATAGCAGATAAGGATAAGAAAATAGCAGTGGAGACTGCCTCGAACTTCAGCCAGGCACGGGAGTCCCCCCAGGCCTTTGCACTCAGCAGGCAGGTAGCCCCCAGGCGAGGTTTGGACAGCGCCCACGCCGGGCTGGCCGGCCAGGACAGGCCTAGACTAGCAGCTTACACCTGGCGGCGTCTGCCTCTGGGGCAGACACCGCCCTACGCCCCCGCTTCAGCGGCTCCCAGGCGGGCCGGGGACGCAGGCGGCAAGGACCGATGACCTATGGCCAAATCTGGGCGGCGTGACCGTCCCGCTTCCGGCTGCTGCTCTGGGAGACATGACCTGGTAGGTTCCCAGAGGCGTCTCAGCCTTGCTCCCTACGCAGGCCGGGAACTCAGGATGGATCCCGCAGCCTGCATCCCCACCCCTAAGTAGGAGTGGAGCTCTGTAAAGGTTGGACACTAAGGCACCCCGGGAATGGCCAGCACACGCAGGAATCGCTCGAAGTTTCAAACAAGACCCCGTCCTACCGCCCCGGCCAGTTGGTGGTGGCGCGCCAGGCCTTCGCCTCCTGCCGCCTCTCCCACCCAGAAATGTCCCCGAAGCCCGGCCGTGCCGCCACCCACCCCGGCCCCGGCGCTCACCTGCTGCAGCACCTTGTCCAGCGGCTCGGCCTGCGCCAGGCTGTCGGCGCTCAGGCCGCTTGCCTCCCGGCACTGTGGACTCAGCGCTGCTGCCTCGGCGCGAACCAGCGACTTGTGCAGCGTCCCCACCTGCGAGCGGCGGGGGAAACCGATCAGCTGTGGCGCCCCTCGGGCCCTGCAGGTCCCCCGGGACCCCCGCCGTCTCCTCTCCACCCTACCTGGCGGCTTTGCGGCTCCACCACTTGCCATACTAGAAGGATTAAGTCAGTCTCGTCGGAGCCCAGGTCTGGCCCCAGCGCACCGGCTGTGGCCCCGAACAGGACGACCAGTGATCCAGGCTCTGGGCATGGGTCCGTGGTGGAGTCTGCCCCGGGGTCCGGGCCTGGGGGCGGGGGCGGAGTCATGGCCGCAGAGGAAGGGGGCGCTCGGCCAGACACACGCGGACCGACGAGGCGCACGCACGCACAGACAGACAGACGCAGATCAGCTTGGGCGGGACACAGTGTGTCGGGGGCGGCACCTGCGGCCCGGCTGGCGCAGTGGGCGCCGCTGAGACCCGCCCGCGGCGCCCCACGGGGCGGGGCGGCTACCGGCCCCCGCCCTCTCCGGGCGAGTTACCTGCCGGCCCCACCGGTCACGTGACTGGGGGCGGCCCCGGGAACCCTGGGGGAGGGCCGCCAGACCCAGCCCAGGACGCTGGAACTCTCACTCCTGGCCTGGGCGCGCTCTCAGGATCCGGACTCCCGCTTCCCGGGCCGTCCGCCTGACTCCTGGCGCGAACCTGTTCTTCTGCTTACCTCCGCCCCCACGGACCACGAGGCCTTCGCAAAGAAACGTGCAAAGACCAGGGGCCTTCTCCAGTCCGTGAGGGTCACACGGGACCTGTGGAAGTCACCAGGAGGCAGTCTAGGGATCGTGGGGGTCACGACAGCAGGTCTGGGGTTGGTGGAAGTCACCAAGGGTCAAGGGGGCGGTGGAAATTGCCGGGTATCACCCGGAGGCCTTTGGGGGGTATCATCCGAGGTCGGCTGGGGAAGGGGAGGGCGGCAGGGATCGTCAGGGGTCCATGGAGCTGTGGGGTGGTCACCCGAGATCATAGGGAAGGGCCCGTCCACACAGGAGCCAGGGCCTTAGTCCAGCTCCGGGAAGTGCCAAAGCGTGGTCGTTGTGGGCCGGAGGTGCGTAAGCCTCGATGCTGGGGAAAGAGGAATACACTCTTCTCTCCCCCAATTCCTGAGAGCTGCATCCCAGGCGAGGATAGTCTGGGCCTGGAGCCTCACCTCTACCCCACGTGGGGCGCCAGCCTGTTTTCCTCGCTCCGTGGCGACCGGCCTGTTGCTCGGAGATTGCTGGCGGGCAGGGGGCTCGCGGTGCCTTCGGGCGCGTGCAGGCTGCGGATCCTCCGTCCCGGACCAACAACCCAGCTCGGACGGCCCGCGTGGAGCGCTCCCGGCGCCCCTTTCGCCCGCGCAGCTTGGTGAGGCTCCTTTACGGTGCGTTTCCTGGCCGCCCCGTACTTACCCAAATTCTCCCATTTACGTAATTAAGAAACTGAATAATGCGGCGGGAAGGAGGGACTCCAGCTGGCTGGAGCTGAGATAAGGGATTGTCAAGCCCGACTCGAGACCCAAGCGGGAGCTGCACCTCGTGCTTCCGGACAAGCAGGGCGCTGCGTCCGGGCCTGTGGACCACAGGGGAGAGGAGGGGACCCGGGCGCACCCACAGCTCATGCCGGGGTGGGGAGGGGGTTTTCCCGGGGGGTTGAGAGCTCAGGATGGCTGGATCCCCTCTGAGGCTTTGTCCCGCAGCAGCATGTTCCCACTTGGCAACTGAAGAAACAGGCGCCCAGGACGGAGGTGACTCGCGTTGGGACATAGCGACTGGAAGAGAGTGGGAGATGCACTCATGGCCCAGCGGGCTCGAGCGATTACCACTTGCTCGTTACGGTGGTGGCAGCTACTCTCCAGACGCCCAACCCGGCGCCCACCTGCCTGTCCCCACCCCCCGGAAGCGCTAAGCGAATCAGCCGCGGGGGGAGGGGAGAACGTCACTCCTCTGGCCCTGCCCCCACGATAAGCCTGGAATGTCAAATATTTGTTCGCGGGGTGGGGCGCGACCGTGGGGTAAGGCCCCTCCCCCTGCCTCGCGGGAGCGCGCCTGCGCCGCGCGGGGTTGGGACTTCATCTGGGCCGTGCTCTTCTAGCCAACTCCCCTTCACCCCAGCCGCCCTCCGTTTCTAAAGCTCAGTTGACCCGTGTCGCCCCTTTCCCGCCTCGGGTCTGGGCTGCTGCTCCTCCTGAACAGAGTCCTAGCGCCCCTGCCGGGAGGCCCAGATGCTACCTGGTCTCAGTCTGGCCGCTCCTGGTGACCGCAAACGTTCAACTTCTAGACCTTCGCGCTCCTACTTACTCTTTCAGCGCGGGTCCCGGCGCCCGATCCTCTGGGAGGCCTCCCTCTCGAGGTGACCTCCCTACTGTGGCACCCCGGCAGCCCTGAGCGCATTCCCACCGGAGACGCAGTCATGCGTGTTCAGATGCCAGCTGAGTGGTGAACCTGAGGCACCGATCTGGCAGCACAGAGCGGCTCCCCCAAACTCCCTGGCGCCCATCCGCTGTCCCCATCACAGGACAATTCCCGACCCTTGGGTTCTTTTTTTTTTTTTTTGAGACAGAGTCTCACTTTGTTGCTGCCAGGCTAGAGGTGAGTGCCGTGGCGGTCGCAGGCCTAGCTCACAGCAACTCAAACCCTGCTCAAGCAATCTCTGCCCAGGCCTCCCGATAGCTGGCACGGCATGCACCACCATGCCCCGCTAACCTTGTCTTGAAAACCTATTCGTAATAAACGTGGGGCCTGAACTCCATTGAACCTCGTTACTTCGCTCCTTCGTTGGTCCTCAGATGCGTCCATCAGTACTAAACAACCTCGCTCCCCTCTCCCAACCGCTCTCATTGCTCTTTACGCGCTACCCACTTAACACTTCTAACATGATTATTAGTCATTTGCATCTCACCCCCATCATTGGCTGAAGATAGAGGCTCATCCCCCATCATTATCATGGACCTGGACTGAATGAATGAATCGTCTAAGGCTTTCTTCTTAGTATACGCAATGGCAACCGCCACTCTGCCACAGGGCTTTGCAGTAGAGCTCAACTGTGTCCCGTGTTTCCTCCCTCCACCTGCCGGCTCTAGTTAACCTCAACCTCCTCATTTCCTTCTTGAGCCCTCCCTGCGTACTTGAGATTTTGTTACTTCCCCTGAAAGTCTCCACCCCTATTAATCATGAATCCGTAATAATGAATAAATAGGAGATAAGCCAACAATCCATGCCCCCGAAGCCAGGCCTCCAAAACTGCCCTCCAGATATCTGGAGAAGGGATTGGTCTGGAGGGCACATACAAAATTCTTCCTCACCTCGGCCCTCCGAGGCAGGGCAGCGGGCGCCTTGCTGGGCAGAAACAGAGAGGTAGGCAACTCGCGGGAGGTTGGCGATCTCGGGAACCTCAGGCGTCTAGCTGCTGTAAAAGCGTCCCCTCCTCCGCTTCCCGGCGGAACTGACCCGGTAAGAGCATCGCGTTGGGCCACTGCGGGGATTCACCCTCGAGAGCCACTACACCCCTGCTACTCCGGGCCACCAAGTAGCAAGCCAGCGCCCTGGGCTGTCGGGTTTCCGATCTCCGGCTTTTGCAGAACTGCCGCGATAACCACAGGGGCGCGTCTGAATCTTGCCAAACCAGATGGGAGGGACAAGGGCGGAGCGCGCACAGGATGCAGTAGGGGACCAGGAGAGGTGAAAAGGGGTGACCTCAATGCAATGCAGCCAGTTTCCTCTGCGTTAGAATACTTATTATTATTTATTTCAGCCAATTAAGAGGTACAAATTGATTAATACCTAACCTGGACCAGATAGGTAGCTGGGCTTGAGGCAACCAAACTGAGACCAAGGCTTCTGAGCTGGTGTGGTGGCCAGAGCTGAGCCCATTTACAGGCTAGTGGATTCTCCCTAAAGCTCAAGGCTGAGCAGGCCCCTATCCCTCTGATGCCAGAGTCTCCCAGCAGTCACAAGAGGCCAAATTCCTATGCACTTATCATAGAACCCTGGAGCCTAAGGGCCCAGAACTCAGCTAGGAACCTGGCCTAGGTATGAAGGAAGGGAGAAGAGTCATTAGGGAAGGGTCTTAAAAGATAAGCAGGAGCTTTCCCTGAAAAAATGGGATAGGTGAGTAGGTAATGCCCCAGGCAGGGAGCTCAGCCTGCAGCAGCAGGGAGACCTCCCAAAGATCACTAGTATGTCCAGAGCACTGGGTGGGGCAGGCTGGCTGAGAGTGGAAGAGAAGTTGAGGGCCTGAAAACCAAGGTTAAAAACTTGGGCTGGGGCCGGGGCTCGGTGCTAAGCCTGCCTAATCCTAGCCACTCTTGGTCGAGGCCGAGGCGGGCTGATTGCATCGAGGTCAGAGAGTTGAAACCATCCCCTTTTCCCTGAGCAAGAGCAAGACCGGTCTACTACTATAAATAGAAAGAAATTAATTGGCAAATATATTGTTTTTTTTTTTTTATATATATAATATTAGCTGGGCATGGTGGGCATGTACCTGTAGTACCCAGCTACTCTGGAGGCTTGATGGCAGAAGGATTGCTTGAGCCCAGGATGTTTGAGGTTGCTGTGAGCTAGCGCTGACTCCACGGCAACTCTAGCCTGAGCAACTGAGTGAGATCTCTGTCTCACAAAAAAAAAGAAAAAAAAAAAAACCAAAAAGGCCCATTGTCCAGGAGTCAGGAGCACAGCGAAGATTCTAAAGCCAGCGGAGAGATCAAGGCATAGGTATCTATAATTTAACATTTGTACCTCATAATATGCCTGAAAATAAATAAATAAAATAAGATTTCTAAAGCCAGGGAAACGGCCTGGATTGCATCTCC